GATCGTACGGCGGGGCGGAAGTCGGGCGACACAGGGCAGTTGACACGAACGTGTCGTACATCGCCGCTTCGTACGCCAAGTGGGTGGAGAGTGCGGGCGCACGACCCGTTCCGTTGCTGTACGACGAACCGGTGGAGGTACTTCGTCAGGTGCGTTTGCGAACTCTCCGAATCTTATTTCGCAGTGCTACTCTCGCAAGGCCCGAGTCTATCCACTTGGTGGGACTGGAAGGTGGAAATTGACGGTTTTTCTCTAATGAAGTGTTCTAATGGTCGACGGTAAATTCTCCGTGAAAATTTCAATGGGTCGACGGTAAGGTCTGCGTGATATGCTTCAGTGGGAAACGGATCAGTATTTGACTGTTTGTTTCCGTTTTTCCTGTTGTCTGTAACGTCCCTGTCACCAGAAATTCGATATGATCAACGGTCTGCTGATTCCCGGCGGAGGGACCGACTTGGTGCCTGGGCCTTTCATGTCTACAGTGCAACTGCTTCTACAGGTACATTACTTCCATTTTGCGACATAACTGCTTCGTTGCTTACTGTACAGCATGCGATCTTATCAGGCGTTTCCTTAATAGCTGCACACGAGTGTCTCTGCAAGCCTGGTAGCACCTTGAAGGCGTTCGATTGCAGCTAATCTTGTCATTAAGGAAAGGAATGAGAGCAATAACCGTTGGAATCATGCTTTTGGAACAACCGTTGAAGTCCGTCAACCGTTTTCCATGTGCAGTGGGCCAAGGAGGCGAACGATCGAGGCGACTACTTCCCCGTGCAAGCCACGTGCATGGGGTTCGAAGCCATGGCGATTGTTATTAGCGAGGTATGCTTGTAGCGGGTCAGATGTAGCGGGCAGCTGACGTTTTCATTCGTGGGCTGGAATTTGAATAACATTCGGCATCAGCTCTGTTGTCGAGGCGCCACCTCCGAATTCCACCTCCCTGGTCTGTTTTCCCTTTCCCTTCTCTCCTTCCCCTTCCCCAATTCTCCTTCCCCTTCCCCAATTCTCCTTCCCCTTCCCCAATTCTCCTTCCCCTTCCCCAGTTCTCCTTCTCCTTCCCCAGTTCTCCTTCCCCTTCCCCAGTTCTCCTTCCCCTTCCCCAGTTCTCCTTCCCCTTCCCCAGTTCTCCTTCCCCTTCCCCAGTTCTCCTTCCCCTTCCCCAGTTCTCCTTCCCCTTCCCCAGTTCTCCTTCCCCTTCCCCAGTTCTCCTTCCCCTTCCCCAGTTCTCCTTCCCCTTCCCCAGTTCTCCTTCCCCTTCCCCAGTTCTCCTTCCCCTTCCCCAGTTCTCCTTCCCCTTCCCCAGTTCTCCTTCCCGCCTTCCGCATTCTTACCTCCTCCCCCGGTTCCTCTCAAACGTTTTGTCCGCCCACATTCCCCCTCCCTTCCATCGTGACATTGACCCGCATTGACCGGCATTGACCGCGATTGACCGGGATTGAGCATGATCCGCATTGACCCGCATTGACCCGCATTGACCCGCATTGACCCGCATTGACCCGCATTGACTCGCATTGACCCGCATCGACCCGCATCGACCCGCATTGACCAGCGTTGTCCTGCATCACCGGCATTAGCCCGCGTTCATCCGCATTGAGCAGCATTGACCCTCATTGACTCGCACATTTGACCCTCACGCACCCTTGCTGACCCACATTGACTCTCAGGACCCGGACCTGCTGGAGCTGAGGCGGTTCAGCGCCTTGGATGTAAATTGAGATCCCAAGCCTGTGCATCTTCTATTTGTTGCTTCTCTTGTTGACTCTTGTTGACTCTTGTTGACTCTCGATGACTCTCGTCGACTCTCAGGACCTGGACCTGCTGGAGCTGAGGCGGTTAAGTGCCTTGCATTGAAATTCATATCCCAATATGCCTCCACCTTCTCTAGTTGACTCCCGTTGACCCCCGTTGATTCTCAGGAACCGGACCTGCTCGAACTGAGGCGCTTCAGCGGCTTTGATTCACCTCCACATTTTCTAGTTGACTCTTGTTAACTCTTTTTGACTCGTTGACTCTTGTTGACTCTCTTTGACTTGTTAACTCCCGTTGACTTTCAGGACCCGAACCTGCTGGAACTGAGGCGCTTCAGTGCGTTGGATTTGGCCTCTCCGCTCAAATTCGTGGGCAACTGGGTGCACCGCAGAAGCTACTTCTCCTGGTGAGGCCGCTTATAGCGAGTACGGTCTGAACTCGTTACTAAGTGCGCTGCAGGAGCTGCTTCTCCCGTTGAGTCTGCTTATAACTAGTAAGATGGAATTTCCCCCCTTCGTCTCACCATGCCCCCTCTCTTCCCCTCTCTCTCTCTCTCTTCCCCCCTCTCTTCCCCCCTCTCTCTTGCGCCCCTCACTCTGTCTCCTGATTTGGCTGGGAAGGTGCAAGAGCTCCCTCTCCTCTCGTCCCCCCTCGTTCCCTCTCGTTTCACTGTGCCTCCACCCTTCCCCCCTCCCGCCGCGCCCCCCTCCATCCGCGCCCTTTCCCCCTTCTCGCTCTCAGGATGTCTCCGGATTTGGCTGCAAAGGTGCAAGAGCTCCCTCTCACCATGGAGAACCATCAGGTAACTTCCGGTTTTCCGACTTTCCTCCCCCCCTCTCTTCGCACCTCTCGCTCTATGTCATGAAAGGTGCAGAAGCTACCCTTCTCTGTGGAGAAGCATTCCATTGTTCAGGTAAGCTCCAGAATTTCTTCTCCTTTGCCAATGCTCGCGATGTGTACCTGTGTCCTCACCACCTCCTTCTCCTCCCCCCCCCCCCTTCTCCGCACCTCCATCCTCCTCCCCTCTCAGGACGGCCCCTCGGTGCATTGCTTCCTCTCCAACAGCCAGCTCAGGGATTTCTACTTTGTGCACAACACGCCTCTCCCCTTCCCATGACCCCTCAACCTGCTCTTTTCCCTCCCTCCTCCTCCCCCCTCTCAGGACGGCCCCACGGTGCATCGCTTCCTCTCCAACGCCAGGCTCAGAGATATATTCTCCGTGCTCTGTTCACCACCTCGATCTTTGCACCCTTTCTCCCTCCTCCCCTCCCCATTTCACCTCATCCTCCAATGCACCCCCCTCCCCCCTCTCAGGACGGCACCACGGTGCATCGCTTTCTCTCCAACAGCAAGCTGAGGGATTTCTTCTTTGTTCTCACCACCTCGTTCGATAAGAATGGACTGGTACAGCATGGAATGTTGTTTTTGTCTCTCGTTCATTACTGAAATGCTATATTTTAAATTACTGTATCAGAGAACTTATGATTGCGATGATTTTGAACACAATGTGGTTCGAATGATTCCATCTGCGTCTCACTGTTGAGAAGTGTATGTATCATGTCTTTACAGCAGTTCAAATCGGTACAGTGCAGGGAAATTAATTTCTGTACTTATGTTCCTGTTCTCTCCGTGTGCCCATCTGTGACTGTAGGAGTATGTGACAACAGTGCAGGGAAAGCGGTATCCCTTTTATGGCACGCAGTGGCATCCAGAGGTGGGTTGTCGCATGCTGACGTGGGTTCTGTCACGCTGACGTGGTTTGTGACATGCTGACGTGGCTGGTAGCAGCAGAAAGAACGTCAAGTCAGGTTTGGACCACATACCCTACGCAGCATACCATACGTCAAGATCTCAAAACTCTCTCCTCTCGCTCATTCCTCCCTCGCTCGAATGGTATCTTGAGACGTCTCAAAACACTCGCTCGAATGGTATCTTGAGACGTCTCAAAACACTCTCTTGCATGGTATCTTTCTTTTCAACAGAAAAAACGCGCACGAGTGGGGGCTGGATCACATACCCCCTGCAGCAGGCGCCAATGCTGTGGGTCAGGTCCCTCATGCTGGTCTCATTCCGCTCTCCCCTCTGCTCCCTCTCATTCAACAGAAGAACGCCTATGAGTGGGGGCTGGATCACATACCCCTGCAGTATTTCTCAAACTCCTCTTTCTCTTGTGCCTTTTCCCCTCTCATTGCTTCACACGACGCACAAATCAACAGAAAAATGCATATGAGTGGGGGTTGGGTTGGACCACATACCCCATGCAGCAGACGCCATTGCTGTGCTTCTCATTCCTCCCTCCCCTATCCTCTGTTCCCCTCTCACCTCTTCACCCAACCCTCTTCACACAACAGAAGAACACGTACGAGAGGGGGTTGGTTGGACCACATGCCCCATGCAGCACACACCGTGGCAGTGGGTGTGCTTGTCAGGACTCACACACCATGGCGGTGGGTGTGCATGTCGGGACTCACACACCGTGGCAGTGGGTGTGCTTGTCAGGACTCACACACCATGGCGGTGGGTGTGCTTGTCAGGACTCACACACCATGGCGGTGGGTGTGCTTGTCGGGACTCACACCGTGGCAGTGGGTGTGCTTGTCAGGACTGACACACCATGGCGGTGCTAACCCTAAACCCTTTTTTCTATTCTCATTCCTCCTTCCCCTCCCCTCCCCTCCCCTCTCATTCCTTCACACACAACAGAAGAATGCATACGAGTGGGGGTTGGACCACATACCCCACGGAGCACATGCCATAGCTGTGGGTCAGGCAGCAGCCAACTTCTTTGTCAAGTGAGTTGGTCTCTTTAGCTGTACAGTCAGATGCACTACAGTCACAAGTGCTACAGTCACAAGTGCTACAGTCACTAGCACTAATCACTCTGCCACACACCACACGCCATAGCCGTGGGACAGGCAGTAGCCAACTTCTTTGTCAAGTATGTTGAAAGTGGTCTCAATAGCGCTACAGTCACACGCACTGCACTCACGCACTACAGTCACACGCACTGCACTCACGCACTACAGTCACACGCACTACAGTTGCACGCACTACAGTCACACGTGGTACAGTCACACAAGCTACGGACTCATGCGCTACAGTCACACGTGCTACAGTCACACGCGCTACAGTCACACTCACGTTCAACTTGCTTCCATTCCCCGTCCACTCTGCCTCACATCTCCGCCCTCTCACATCTCCACCCTCTCACATCCCCGCCCCTTCCTCCTTATTTTCCCTCCCCTTTCCCCTCATGGCAGTGAGGCTCGGCGCAACACCCACTCTCCAGCCTCGGACGAGAGCATGAACGACTTGCTTCTCTGAAAATGCTCTCCTGTTCCTCCCATTTCTCCCCACTCCTCCCCAATCCTCCCCATGGCAGTGAGGCGCGTCGCAACACCCACCATCCTGCCTCGAATGAGAGCATGAACGACATTCTCTACAACAAATCTCCTGTTCCCCCCCACTCCTCCCCACTCCTCCCCACTCCTCACCCACTCCTCCCCACTCCTCACCCACTCCTCACCCACTCCTCCCCACTCCTCACCCTCCCCACTCCTCACCCACTCCTCCCCACTCCTCACCCACTCCTCCCCACTCCTCACCCACTCCTCCCCATTCCTCACCCACTCCTCCCCACTCCTCACCCACTCCTCCCCATTCCTCCCCATTCCTCCACGTACCTCCCTATGGCAGTGAGGCTCGGCGCAACACCCACTCTCCAGCCTCGGACGAGAGCATGAACGACTTGCTTCTCTGAAAATGCTCTCCTGTTCCTCCCATTTCTCCCCACTCCTCCCCAATCCTCCCCATGGCAGTGAGGCGCGTCGCAACACCCACCATCCTGCCTCGAATGAGAGCATGAACGACATTCTCTACAACAAATCTCCTGTTCCCCCCCACTCCTCCCCACTCCTCCCCACTCCTCACCCACTCCTCCCCACTCCTCACCCACTCCTCACCCACTCCTCCCCACTCCTCACCCTCCCCACTCCTCACCCACTCCTCCCCACTCCTCACCCACTCCTCCCCACTCCTCACCCACTCCTCCCCATTCCTCACCCACTCCTCCCCACTCCTCACCCACTCCTCCCCATTCCTCCCCATTCCTCCACGTACCTCCCTATGGCAGTGAGGCGCGTCGCAACTCCCACCATCCAGCCTCGGACGAGAGCATGAACGACTTGCTTCTCTGAAAATGCTCTCCTGTTCCTCCCATTTCTCCCCACTCCTCCCCAATCCTCCCCATGGCAGTGAGGCGCGTCGCAACACCCACCATCCTGCCTCGAATGAGAGCATGAACGACATTCTCTACAACAAATCTCCTGTTCCCCCCCACTCCTCCCCACTCCTCCCCACTCCTCACCCACTCCTCCCCACTCCTCACCCACTCCTCACCCACTCCTCCCCACTCCTCACCCTCCCCACTCCTCACCCACTCCTCCCCACTCCTCACCCACTCCTCCCCACTCCTCACCCACTCCTCCCCATTCCTCACCCACTCCTCCCCACTCCTCACCCACTCCTCCCCATTCCTCCCCATTCCTCCACGTACCTCCCTATGGCAGTGAGGCTCGGCGCAACACCCACTCTCCAGCCTCGGACGAGAGCATGAACGACTTGCTTCTCTGAAAATGCTCTCCTGTTCCTCCCATTTCTCCCCACTCCTCCCCAATCCTCCCCATGGCAGTGAGGCGCGTCGCAACACCCACCATCCTGCCTCGAATGAGAGCATGAACGACATTCTCTACAACAAATCTCCTGTTCCCCCCCACTCCTCCCCACTCCTCCCCACTCCTCACCCACTCCTCCCCACTCCTCACCCACTCCTCACCCACTCCTCCCCACTCCTCACCCTCCCCACTCCTCACCCACTCCTCCCCACTCCTCACCCACTCCTCCCCACTCCTCACCCACTCCTCCCCATTCCTCACCCACTCCTCCCCACTCCTCACCCACTCCTCCCCATTCCTCCCCATTCCTCCACGTACCTCCCTATGGCAGTGAGGCGCGTCGCAACTCCCACCATCCAGCCTCGGACGAGAGCATGAACGACTTGCTTCTCTGAAAATGCTCTCCTGTTCCTCCCATTTCTCCCCACTCCTCCCCAATCCTCCCCATGGCAGTGAGGCGCGTCGCAACACCCACCATCCTGCCTCGAATGAGAGCATGAACGACATTCTCTACAACAAATCTCCTGTTCCCCCCCACTCCTCCCCACTCCTCCCCACTCCTCACCCACTCCTCCCCACTCCTCACCCACTCCTCACCCACTCCTCCCCACTCCTCACCCTCCCCACTCCTCACCCACTCCTCCCCACTCCTCACCCACTCCTCCCCATTCCTCACCCACTCCTCCCCACTCCTCACCCACTCCTCCCCATTCCTCCCCATTCCTCCACGTACCTCCCTATGGCAGTGAGGCGCGTCGCAACTCCCACCATCCAGCCTCGGACGAGAGCATGAACGACTTGCTTCTGTACAACGGATCTCCTGTTACTCCCTCCTCCCCACTCCTCCCCACACCTCCCCACTCTTCCCCATTCCTCCCCATGGCAGTGAGGCTCGGCGCAACACCCACTCTCCAGCCTCGGATGAGAGCATGAACGACATGCTTCTGTACAACCACTCTCCCGTGTTTGCCGGCAAGAATGGGTGAGCTGCTTACTTTGTTGGCAAGAGTTGGTGGGTTGCGTGCTGTTACCTGTGAAATGAGGGAGGGCATGAACGACATGGTTCTCTACAACCAGGCTCCCGTATTTGCCAGCAAGAATGGGTGAGCTGTCTGCGGTGAGAATCACGGACTTGTCTTTGCCAGCGCGAAGGGTTAAGTGGCATGCTATCACCCGCGAGTTGAGAGAGAGGGGATGAACGACATGCTTCGGTACAGCTACGCTCCCGTGTTTGCTGGCAAGAGTGGGTGATTCGTGGATGGAATATCGCGTTTGCAGAGAAGAGCGGGTGAGTTGCCTACTCGCCGGCACAAATGGGTGAGTGACAGACTGTTACCGGTGAGCTGAGGGGATGCACGATTCACTATCTCAGGCAAAACGACTTCGAAACTAAGGGGATGCACGATGTTTTATACACTTATTTTTCCTTCCTTTTCTTTCCTGCTCGTTTATTGTGATGTTGCAGGCATGGGTACTTTGAGCAATCGTATGTGTTCAGGAAAGCGGTTGGTTCTGGTGATGCCGTTAGAACTGAATGAGAAGGTTGTTTTCACGTATTTATTAGCAGCACATGTTTCTGTTAGCATGCCTAGGTTCTGATTATTTTTATGTTCTGCATGAGATGTAGAGGAATATGCAGTCTTTTAGATGTTCATGCTGGTGCTGTGCTGCCAAGATCACATAATGAATCACCAAGGGAGAAGGGGATGAAGTACAGTGAGTTTGGTTTGAGAGGGCTGGTGATTGCGGAGTTGTTCTCGTTGCATTTATTTTTTTGTACCAGGTTTTTGCACCTGTTTTTATCTGAACCAGTTTTTAGCATTACCGTATTCTCCCGGACATAATACCCACCCCTAATAGTACACCCCCGGGTAGCTTGTGCGGGGTGGGTGCTATAACCGACCTCGTTTGTACTATACCCCCCTTTTGGGGTGATTCTCTATAAGACCCGGGGGGGGGGGGGTGTTATGGGTGGCACAATTGCATATTTGTCTTATATTTCACACTGTTAGGGGTGCAATCTAGTATTGAAACATAGCACCAGCACCTAGCATCTCATAAACAACAGAAACATCACAACTACGGTAGTTATGGCTTTGCACTACAATGCTTCTTCTGGTGCTATCTAGTCCTCATCGTCCCCTGCGACCCATTCCTCACACTCCTCTCCGTCATAGCGGTCGGCGCGCCACCACTCATCATCCTCGTCGTTGAACACTCCCGCCTCCTCGCCTTCTTCGGGCGTGTTCCACTCCTCCTCTTCCGCCGCCGCCGCCGCCTCCGCCGCCTCCTCCTCCTCTGCGGCTACATCCTCCTCTGCCGGCTGCAGCTCCTCGGCCGGAACGGGGGCCTCGGCGTAGAAGGGGTTGACGACGAGCTCGTCGTCAACCAGCTCGTTTACGTCGTCAAGCACCTCCACCTCACCCTTGTCCCTCATATGGGCAAGGATGAGGTGTTCCTCGCTGCCATTGATGGCGGTGGAGATCCCGCAGGTGATAAACGCTTTCTTCACGAGATCCTCTGCGACAGCTTCCCAGGACTCGTCGATCCAGCGGAGAACCAAGTCCGCAGGCGGCTTCTTCAGGTTGCCTGTGGGAAGGGAAGGAGTTGAAAAGTCAAGAATGTGTACTTGCAGTGTGTGCGCTGATGCTAGAACGATGTTGCTCAAACGGAACTCAAGACTGCAACTCACCTGCGCGAGTGGTTTGGTTGATGCCGACATCTTCGAACCATGTGCTGTAGCGGGAACGCACCCCGCACTTGAACGCGCGGTTAACCGACACATCCAGCGGCTGCACAAGCGGTGTGCAACCTCCTGGGATGACCGCCCTTGACAACCAAAACATCCGCATCGTTTGACCGACGGCCTCTGTCAAGTGGCCACGGTAGGAGTCGAGCACCACCATCGCCTCCCTGCGGCGGCCGGTGGTTTCCCGCAGGGGCTTCAGAAACGGCACTAGCACCTGGGTGATCCAGTCTTGCACCAGAGATTCGTCCATCCACCCCTTCTCTTGTGCACGGACCACCACACCTGCCATCGGCACAACGTGAGAGTTGTGGTAAGTTGCGACGCATGACAGGCAGGAGCACAGTAAAGAACGTTGATGTGTTACACTCACCGGCAGGGATGGGCACTTTCGGGATGGTCTTGCGCTTGAACACGACGTACGGAGGAAGTTTGAGCCCACCCGCCGTTACTGCCAGCATGACAGTAACACGCTCCTTCTCATAGCCTGCACTGCGTACGTGAACCGTACGTGCACCCTTCATTTCAATCGTGCGCTCTGCCGGTATCTCCAAGAAGAGCGGAGTCTGGTCCGCGTTCATGATGAGGTCGAGCGGGTAGTCGTGCAGAGTGCGCATCTGGCGCACAAACTCCCAAAATGCCTCCACCTTGGCCTTGCAATCTGCAAACAGAGCCACGGCACGTGTAAGTTAAACGGCGAACCCGCAATCACAATCGCACTGTTGCTTTACTTACCGGCAGCCAACTTCTGCCCCATCTTCATCTTCACCCGCCTCGCCAAGTGCCAGCGCGAGCGGAAACGCGTCGCCCAGCGGAACGACGCGCGCCAGTTCACCGAGGGCATGCGGTGCGTCATGTACTTGGAGCTCCACTGCTGGAGCATGCGGACCGAAACGGCGAGGCCCTTCGCACGGTGGTTGAGGAAGTGGCGGTAGACCGCCCGTTCCATGAACGGGTACTTCGCCTTGCGGCCAAATCCCATGAGGTGACGGCGGCAGCCAGATGCGACGTCCAGCCGCTCCTTCATCTTCCTCCATTCGCGGATCTGGCAGGGCTGCACCTTCGCGAGCTTCGCCAAGGCGCGATTCCCCAGGTCGGGCTGAGAGTCTTGCAGCTTCAACCAGTGCAGCTTCTCCTTCACGGTGATCGCCTTACGTACTTTCTTCGTCATGCGATGGCGAGGGGATGGTGGCTCAGAATCCGCGTTGCGCTTCAGCTGACCCTGCGGGCGCTTACGCTCCGGGAAAGCGGGGACAGACACCCGAGGAAGGGGAGGGCGAGAAGCATCGGAGCTACTACTAGCGGGAGGAGACGGCTGGGGCAAGAAGGGGCGAGGCGACGTCCGTGCGCGTGCAGCAGCGGCAGACGGAGTGTTACATGGCCGCTGGCGCCTAACTATTGTACTGCTTGAATCAGGAGAGGAAGCCATACTCTACTACAGATTGGTGTCACCCGCCATGGAAGGAAGGCATACCGTATAAACAAAGAACCCTCGCTAGTGTAGGACGGAGGCGCTCTCACAGCCTGCCGAGCACTGTTTACGGTAGTATCGTGCACTAGAACCGTTGTACAAGGAGGAGGAGAGACCCTTTTGAGGCACAGGGACGTGACCAAACCAGTCAAGACGTGACTGGTACAGGGATAACACAGCACCGTGCGCGATTCCGGCCCCAGTGTTTGCATGAACCCTCGCAGCGCAAGGCTGGCTCTGTTTATACCGAATCAGGTGCCAGAGTGGCCCACTGGAATTTGCCATGTGGCAGATTCCAGTGAAAGGTCACGTTATCCTCGAATACTCGGTTTTGCGGCCCTGACCAACAATCTAACAGTGAACCATTGAAGCTGATTTTGTTTCACATTGTTTTCTGCTTAAAAAAAATGTACCATATAATAAGACCCGGGTATTATATAGGAATTTCTGTTGAGAGGACCCCCCCCCTTTTTTCCCTGTAGTTATCATAATACCCCCGGGTGTTATGTCCGGGAGAATACGGTACCAGCTACATATCAGATCCAAATTCACAGACTCTGTCTAGATTTGAATTTCCCTACGCGCAAGGTCAAGACGAATTTGACACATGAGATCCCAATGCTTATTGGATGAGAGTCCCACGGCTAGGATTGGAGCAACTGTTCGCGCCACAACCAGCTTTCCTCCTGTTCTCTTTCTTGGCCCTCTGCCTTAACAGCACTGCCAGAACCAGCAGCAGCAGCATCACCGTAGCACTGAAAGCAGCAGCAGCAGCAGCAGCAGCACACGCAGCACTAGCAGCGATGCAAACAGCAGCAGCAGAAGCACCAAAACTACCAGCAGCACCACCAGCAGAAGCATCACCACCCTGAGCCATCAGCATCACTCCAATTGCTGTCCTACTACCGTACTTGCACTCCACTTTCTTACAACTCCACAAGTGAAAAACTGCTGTTTCACCAGCTGTTTTCCTCCTCTTCTCCCAATTTCAAGCCAGAGGCTATTGTTTCACAAGCCCCTTCCCTTTGCTCACACCCGGCTTTCCTCCTGGTTTCTTCCTTGCCCCTCCTCCCCCATCAGCAGCAGCAGCACCACCACCAACACCAGCAGCAGCACCACCAGCGCCAGCAGAAGCACCAGCATCGCCAATAGCACTGATGCTACTGCTTCACAAGCCCCTTCCCTTTGCTCACAACCAGCTTCCCTCCTGCTTTCTTCCTTGCCCCTCCTCCCCCAGCAGCAGCACCAGCAGCACCCGAACCACCTGCATCGGCACCGTTGCTGCCACTCCCGTTTCTCCCCGAGCCTGTTCCGTTGGTTCGGCCAATCGACCCAAGAATGTTCTTTTTCACTGCAGTAGCACCAGCACCAGTAGGACCTGCACCAGTGGCACCAGCAGCACTAGCACCAACAACACCAGCACCAGCACCAGCAGTAGCAGCACCACCAGCAGCTGTATCTAAAGCCTTGCCCAGTACTTGTGCTAACTTGTCTCCTCCTCCCCCACCTCCTCCCCCTCCACTACCCTTCTCCTCATCCCATCCCTCCTCATCATCCCAATTCTCCCACCCTTCTCCTCCCCCACTCCCACTCCCCCTCCCCCGCCCACTCGGCCCCTGCCCTAATGCCAACGACAAATCCACCTCCTTTCCTGGAACCTTCGCGTACGCCGGACCTCCCAGCCCGCCGAACCTGCCCCCGGCCTCGCCGGTTCGGCAGCAGCAGAGGCAGCAGACGCAGAGGGAGAGTGCGAGAGCGGCGAGAAGGCCTAGCAGGAGACAGAAGGCTGCTGTTTGGGCCTCGGCATAAGGGAGGAAGGTGCTGAGAAGTGATGCAAAGGGAGCCAGAACAGGCTCTAAGGTTGAGGCAAGAAGAGAAGAGAGGGAGGGCTGGGAGGAGGGAGAGGAGAGGGAGGGAGAAGAAGCAGAAGAGGGTTCCAAGGAGGACGACGAAGAGACGGGGGGATTGAAGGAGGGAGGCAAGGAGGGTGGGGTGAGATCTTGCTCTGAGGGCAGAGTTGCCTTGGAGCTTCCTGATTGGGACATTTCATCTCCTTCTTCTCCTGCTGCTGCAGCCTCCGCTTTTGCTGCTGTGCCTCTTTCCTCTGCTTCTCCTGCTGCTGCTTCTGCTGCTGATGCTTTTGGGTTGGAAGGACCGAAATCCTGAAGTGTTCCATACTCATCCTCCTCTCCCCCATACGGAGACTCCCTGCCACTACCCGCACCACCACCCCCACCACCCCTACCACCACCACCACCACCACCACCACCAAGCTTTCCTGCCCCTGCTCCTGCTGCTGCTTTTGGATTGGAAGGACCAAAATCCTGAAGCGTTCCATACTCATCCTCCTCTCCCCCATAAGGTGACCCCCCCCTACCATCACCACCACCACCAGCACCACCGCCCCCACCAAGCCTCCCTGCCCCTGCTCCTTTTCCATTCAGCAGACTGTCTTTTCCTTCACTCTCAGACGCCTGAAACCCTCCTGCTCCTCTTTCACCTGTCACTGCACCTGCATTCTTACCACCTGAAACCCGCCCCCTGTTCGCCCCTTCTGCAGGATACTCGTCTTCCTCAGCCGAACCCTCAAGTGCATCTTCAGGTGAATTTTCAGGTGAATCTTCAGGTGCTTCTTCAGCAGCGAAGTCGTCTCCAGGCATTGCCCACTCACCCTCCTCCTCCCTTCCCCCCACACTCCCATCCTCTCTCTCCCCCTCTCTCGCCCCTTCTTCTGCACCATACTCTTCCTCTCCATCTGTTCCTTTCCTGGTATCACTACCAACTAAACCTTGTCCCCTCTCCTCCTCTCCATCTGTTCCTTTCCTCGCATCACTACCAACGAATCCTTTTCCCCTTTTCTCCCCAGCCTCCTCACCCCGATCCTCACTCTCCCCCTCTTCTTGTGCAGCAGGTAAATCCTCCTCTCCATCTGTTCTCTTCCTAAAATCACCAGCACCACCTCCTTTTCCTCTCTTTCCCTCAGCATCCTTCTTGGAAGCAGGAGCTGCTTCTGCTGCTGGTGTTGGATTTCCATGTACTCGTCCATCTGCCACCGAGTCTCCTTCCTCTGCTGCTGCTTCTGCATCCAGTGCCCCCTTCTCAGCACCACCCTCAACCCCGCCATCAACCCCACCCTCAGCTGCACCACCCTTCCCATTTTTACCCGGAGACCTGCTGTGCAAAAGCGCTTCCTCTCCTCCCTCCTCTGCTCTCATCTCCGCCTCCTCCTCTCCCTCCTCTTCTTCCCTTTCTGCATCCTCCTCTCTCCTTACCTCATCCCTTCCTCCTCCTTCCCCTCCCTCTCCCACTCGCACCCCTTTTGAGCCACCTCCCTTCTTCCCCGGCCGCTCAGTAACAGAAATATTGTCGCCCAAACCCCCCTCCCCCTGCTCCTCCCTCTCCTCCTCCCGCTCCTCTTCCTCTCCCTTTTCTCCCTCTCCCACTCTCACCCCCTCTGTGCCACCTCCCTTCTTCCCCTGCCGTTCACCCAAAACCTCCTCCGCCTGCTCCTCCCCTTCACCCTCCCTCTCCTCTTCGTCCTCTCCCCTTTCTCCCTCTCTCATCACACTATCCCCTGTAAGATCTGCTCCGGTAAGAGTACCCTTCCCGAACGTGCCCTTTCCGGCCGGGTCTTTCGACCTTTGAGTAGACCCACGCGTCTCCTCTTCTCCTCTCATCACACTAGTCCCTGTAATCTCTGCTCCTGTAAGCGTTTCTTTTTCGGACAACCCCTCTCCATCAGTGGCGTTTGCAGCAGCTAAATCAACCACGGCAACATCCGTTTCCCCTGCTGCTGTGGCAGCTTCTGCTGTTGAGCCTTCGCCACCTGCCTTGCTACCTGCTTTGCTGACCCTCCAGCTACTCGTCGCTGTACCCTTTCCCCCAGTGGCTTTTGCAGCAGGACCACCTACCAAAGATGCATCCAATTCTTCACCTTCCTTTGTCTCTGCCGCTAACTCATCAACCTCCTCTGCTGCTGTGGAGCCTTCGCCGCCTGCCTTTCCACCTGCCTCACGACCTGCTTTGCTAACCCTCCAGCTGTCTTTAGTTGCACCCTCCTTCGTCTCTGTCGCTAGCTCTTCAACCTCCTGTGCTGCAGCTGCGTCCTCTGCTTTGCCCTCTTCCGTTTCCTCTGCCGCTTCCTCCTCCTCCTCCTTCTTCTCCTCCTCCTCCACCTCCTCCTCTTCCCCAGCCAATCCTGCCTCCTCTTTAGTCCCCCCCTCACCCCCTCTCTTCCCCACCACTCCCGCTTCCTTCTCACCTCCCTTATCACCTCCCACCTTGGTTGTAACAGTTGCATCCACCAATTCCTCCTCTCCTCCTCTCTTCTCTCCCACCCTACTTGTAACATTCGCCACACTACTAGTAACATTCCCACCACCAGCACCAGCACCAGCACCAGCACCAGCACCAGCACCAGCACCGCCAGCAGCAGCACTACCAGCAGCATCAGTGCTTTTAGCTTTCGGCATGATTGCCTCTTCTGCTGCTGCAAGTGCCTCATCCACCTTTTCCATCCCCAAATCCGCTGGCCCAACCTTCACTTCCTCATCCTCCTCCGCTTCTTCTCCCTTCACCTCTTCTCCCTTCATTTCCCCTCCCTTCAACTCACCCTCCTCCTCCCTTTCCTTCTGCTCCACGCCCTCACCCCTCTGCTGCTGCCCACTCACGCGCTCACCCCTCTGCTGCTGCCCACTCACGCCCTCCCCCTTCAGCTCCTCACCACTCACGCCCTCCGCTCTTGTCCCGTCCTTTCCTCCCTTCGCAGTCTGTTTTCCCCCATCCATCTCCACCCCTCTCGTCCCTTCCTTCTCCATCTCCTTCTCCTCCTCTGCCTCCTCTTCCTCTTCGTTCTCTGCCTCCCCACCAGCCGTCTTCACATTCTTTGCTTCCCCACCAGTCACCTTCTCATTCTCTGCAGCCCCACCGACCGACCTTGCACCCTCCTCCTCTGCGCTCCCTGCATCATTCTCTCCCTTTTCCTCCTCCTTGCCCGCCCCAGTAACTTCGCTGCGATTGGCTTCAGCAACAGCGGAAGTAGCACCAGCTGCTGCTGCTGCAGCATCGTCAGTGGTACCAGCAGCAGTGGCAACAGTGGCTGCTTTGGCAGAAGCGGCACCCCTAGTGCTGGGAGCAGTGCCATCAATGGTAGCAGCAGGTGCAGTGGCAGCAGTGGTATCGTTAGTGGTAGCAGGTGCAGTGGTACTACCAGCAGCAGGATCCCTGGTGGTGGCAGCAGTGGCACCTCCAGTAGTAGCAGCAGCGGCACCTCCAGTAGTAGCAGCAGCAGCACCGTCAGAGGTAGCAGCAGCAGCACCGTCAGTGGTAGCAGGTGGACGCACCCTACCAGCACCACCACGAGCAACCGAAGCATCCACCCCAGCAACCGCGGCAGTAGCAGCAGCAGTAGCATTAGCAGCATCAACACTTTCCGAAGTGGCAGTGTCAGCTTCCCTATCAGCAGCACCCACAGCAGTAGCCTTGGCACCTTCCGGCCTTCCAGAAGCAGTGGTAGCATCAGCAGCACTAGCAGCATCAACAGCACCAGTACCTTCCGAAGTGGCAGTGGCAGCTTCCCTATCAGCAGTATTCACCGCAGCAGACTTGGCACCTTGCAACCCAGCAACAGCAGAAGCAGTAGAAGCAGAACCACCGGCAGTGGCAGCAGCAGCAGAAGCAGCAGTAGCTACACTCCCCCCCTTCTCCTCCTCGCCTTCCTCCTCCTGCTTCTCATCCCCTTCCTCCTGCACCTCCTTTCCTCCCTCTGTTCCTGTCACACCTCCCGAAGCAGCTGCTGCATCTAATCCCTTGTCCTCTTCCTCCCCTTTCTCGCTTCCCTCTGCTGCACTCACACCAGAAGCAGCTGTTGCATCTATATTCTTCTTGTCTTCTTCCCCTTTCTCTCCTTGCTCCGATGCATGCTCGGCAGAGGCTGTACGAGCTGTAGCAGAGCCTGCCGGATCTGTAGGTTCGGCAGGCCTGGCCGAGCCTGGCTTTTTGCCTCGGACAACGGCTCTGGGACCATGTAAGCCCGCAAGAAGGCGACGGTTCGGCCCCACTGGTACAGATGCTGCCGTACCTTCCAAACCGTTAGGTCCGGAGGCTGTACTTCCGGTTGTAGCATCCGAACCTCTAGGTTCGGAAAGTCCAGCCACGAGGGAGGGAGGAAATTCAGCAGAATTAGCTGCTGCAGATTCGGTCTCCGTGGGAAGAGTTGCGAGACGTCTTGAAGCATACTCAGATGTTGCGGAAAGAGTGGTTTCTGGCCTGGGTATGAGAACGAATGGATCAGCACCATCAGTTGATGGAGTGAGACTTTCAGGAACATGCGAAGGGACGGTTGTCCCCGATTGAAGGCCATCCGGTGAGGGACTCAGCGCCTGATACAAAAATACACACCATACGAACGATGAAGAAGGAAAGGACTCGAGTTTGAGAGGGAAGGAGAGAGACGACGGAGTTTGAACATAGATAGAAGTTAACTAGCTTGTTGGAGCAGTAAAACAGTCGGATCCTTGACGTTTTAAGTTGGGAGGCGACACAAGGCGAGAGAGGAGAGGAAAAAGAGAAAGAGGTGAGAGAGACAGGGAAACGAAACAGGGAGACAGGGCTTACCCAAATAGGAGCGACGGAGGACAAGTGAAGAACGATTAGGAGAACGCTGGTCATGGACGATGACGTCATTATACGCTGCGGCGACGTCATCCGACCTTTCGCGACGACGACGAATGGAGTAACAGAATGGATGACAGGAATTACGAACCCTTGCGCTCCGACTATAGGACCGTCACGAGTCGCATGTCGGTGAGCCGCTAAAAGGCTTCACGTTTATCTGTTAGAAGGTGAGGTTAGCAAAAACGACGGGAAAAGCGAGTTTCGGGGACAGAGCATTCACGGCATTCGCTAGGATCTCCGTATTCTCCGCATTCTCTCACGCCAGAGGTAAATATATCCTACTCCTCAGCGAATCGCCGTCTCGTTTGCGATTCTCGTTCGCGAATGCGGAGGCGAGGATAAACTAAAGCTCACGAAAACCTGGTCGGAACAACCTTGGGAGGAGCAGCAATCGGACCTGAAATTGATCTCAGCCGTTTCTCGCTAACCACGGAACTCCTATCTGTACGCAGCATATGTTGAATTCAAGGAACACATGCTGCTGAAATCACAGAACTCCCTAAGATCGATGTTTCCCTTGGAAATACCGCATGATGAGAGCAACGGCATGTTGGTGGGACCAATAAATTGGTAGGTGAGCCAGCCACATAAATGTTTTAATGTCAAACTAATTTAATGTGCCCGCACCTCATGGGGATGTAGCTCAGATGGTAGAGCGCTCGCTTAGCATGCGAGAGGTATGGGGATCGATACCCCACTTCTCCAAGAAGCTCTGGATTTTGTTGGTTCCTATAACCTTCAGAATCTGCTTAGCAAAAGCAACAACCAGTCTAAATTAGATACCATGACTTGCAGCATAACTTGTGGGGCATTGATGGAGAAACCTGTGGGCATACCCATCCCACGCCTCTCCCTTTTGCAAATATCAAAGGCTATATGGCTGTGGTGGGAGAACTGTGCATCAGGTGAAAGCAATTACTCTTAAGGTTCCTAACAGGAATGGCATTGCTTAGCATGGAAAGTCACTAACAAATTCAGCACCAAAGCTGGCAAATGGCTTCTACACTGCACATACTTATACTAGGGACAACAATGTAGTTGGATGTTGCACCCCATCAAATCAGAAAGTCCCATTTTGCATGCGTAACCTTAACACCCCATCCTCCTTATTGAGCTGAGCTTTCTCCCATTAATCCAAGTGTGGCTTTGAGCACCTGCGCACTCTCCTTGGCATACCTTACACTATCCTCCCCAGCCTTCAGCCCCAGCCACTCAGGTGGACACGTGGCAGGCAATGATTGGACCCAGCTGGTATACGCCTCCTCACTGTCCTCATCTGGTAAATTCAGTAACGCCGACACGCTGGTAACCGCATCACCAGCACCAGCAGCAACACCAGTAGCACCAGTAGCAGCAGGAGTGGCTGGAGCGAGCGAGAGGGCGAATCGTGGAGCGAAAAAACGCCTTGGGATCTCCAAACACGTGCGAGACGATGCGGGAGAGAGTGGCATGGTCTGCAGGGGTCTCCATCTTGAGCCCGTAAGCGATGTCGAGGAGGAGTGTTCTCACTGCTGGCAGGCAGTTTATAGGTGTCAGATGAACAGGGCTGTCTGCTTGCCAGGCTTGTAGCAGGGATAGAGCCCAGGTGAGGTCCTGTAAAGGGGGAAAAATGGGTGGGAAGAGGTGGGAAACGGTGAGAAGGGCGACAGGGTGTGGGAAGGTGTGATAAGGAGGAGGGTGCGCACTGCTGGCAGGCAGTTGGGGGGCGTTAGGCTGGTGAGGCTGTCTGTTTGCCAGGCTTGGAGGAGAGAGAGCGCCCAGGTGAGATCCTGTTAGGGATGGGAAAGGGTTACAAGGAGTGACAGAGTGAGACGGGGTGAGAAGAAGGGCACATGGCCCAAGAACGTGTAAGGGCACAGCCACCCCCAGAGCAGAGCACTCGCTCCTGCAACACTGCATGCACCCATCACCCTCCAACAGCCCTTGCAGTTACACTCATATCCACTCACATGGTCCATGAAGGTGTAGGGGTAGAGCCACCCCCCAGGCACGTAGTGCACTCGCTCCTGTAGCACCGCATGCACCCACGCCATTTCCCCCTAAGCAGCACTGCATGCGCTCACGACATTTCCCCCTAAGCAGCGCTGCATGCACTCACGACATTTCCCCCTAAGCAGCACTGCATGCGCTCACGGCATTTCCCCCTAAGCAGCACTGCATGCGCTCACGACATTTCCCCCTAAGCAGCGCTGCATGCACTCACGACATTTCCCCCTAAGCAGCACCGCATGCACCCACGCCATTTCCCCCTAAGCAGCACTGCATGCGCTCACAGCATTTCCCCCTAAGCAGCACCGCATGCACCCATGCCATTGCCTTACAGTCGCACTCACATGGTCCATGAAGGTATAAGGGCACAGCCACCCCCAGGGGACGTAGTGAACTCGCTCCTGCAGCACCGCATGCACCCACGCCATGCCTACCCGCACTCCAAGACACGCTCTAAGCCACACTGCCTGCCCCAACTCACATGGTCCATGAACGTGTAGGGGCACAGCCACCCCCGGGACACGTAGTGCACTCGCTCCTGCAGCACCGCATGCACCCATGCCATGCCCACCCACACCCGCTCTGGCCCACCCGCACCCGCTCTGGCCCACCCGCACCCGCTCTGGCCCACCCACACCCACGCCATGCACACGCACACCCATTCTCGCTCACATACAGAGGCACACTCACATGGTCCATGAAGGTATAAGGGCACAGCCACCCCCTGGGCACGTAGTGCACTCGCTCCTGCAGCACCGCATGCACCCATGCCATGCCCACCCGCACCCGTAGCATCTGCCGCCTCCTCCTCCTCTGTTCCTCCTCCTCCTCCTCCTCCTCCTCCTCCTCCTCCTCCTCCTCCTCCTCCTCCTCCTCCTCCTCCTCCTCCTCCTCCTCCTCCTCCTCCTCCTCCTCCTCCTCGTCACCACCTCGCACTTGCAGCACCGGCTGCTGCTGCTTCCCCTGTCGCCTCTTCTCCACAGCAACCCCACTCCGCTCGCTGCCCCTCTCTGCTTCTTCAGCTGCGTTTCTCTTTCTCTGCTGCTGGCTCCACTGGCTGCTGCCTCTGGCCGAGAGCGAGAGAATGGAATCCAGAGATCTCTGTGGGGGGGAGAGGGCGTGAGAAGGGTGTAAGGAGTGGGCATGAGAGTCGACTCACAGCTCAGCGACAACAAGGAGGAGGAAGAGGAGTGGGCATGAGAGTCGACTCACAGCTCAGCGACAACAAGGAGGAGGAAGAGGAGTGGGCATGAGAGTCGACTCACAGCTCAGCGACAACAAGGAGGAGGAAGAGGAGTGGGCATGAGAGTCGACTCACAGCTCAGCGACAACAAGGAGGAGGAAGAGGAAGCTTATCTCACCTGCATGCTGTCTTTCACCCCTGCCGGTGCTTCCATGACCAGCACGTCACACGCCTCCACCAGCTTGGGAGCGATGTGAGGCAACTCAAACCAGTGGGAGGAGAAAGGGGACAGCAACACGAGAGAGGCTCACCTGCATGCTGCCCTTCACTCCAGCCGGTGCCTCCATCACCAGCACGTCGCACGCCTCCACCAGCTTGGGAGCGATGTGAGGCAACTCAAACCAGTGGAAGGAGAAAGGGGACAGCAACACGAGAGAGGCTCACCTGCATGCTGCCCTTCACTCCAGCCGGTGCCTCCATCACCAGCACGTCGCACGCCTCCACCAGCTTGGGAGCGATGTGAGGCAACTCAAACCAGTGGAAGGAGAAAGGGGACAGCAACACGAGAGAGGCTCACCTGCATGCTGCCCTTCACTCCAGCCGGTGCCTCCATCACCAGCACGTCGCACGCCTCCACCAGCTTGGGAGCGATGTGAGGCAACTCAAACCAGTGGAAGGAGAAAGGGGACAGCAACACGAGAGAGGCTCACCTGCATGCTGCCCTTCACTCCAGCCGGTGCCTCCATCACCAGCACGTCGCACGCCTCCACCAGCTTGGGGGTGGTGTGAGGCATTCAAAGGGAGAGGAGAGAAGTAAGGGAGGAAGGAGAAGGAGCAGGAGAAGCGGCTCACCTGCATGCTGCCCTTGACCCCTGCAGGTGCTTCCATCACCAGCACGTCACACGCCTCCACCAGCTTAGGGGGCATCAGCCGCAAGAGGAGAGCAGAAAGTGAGGAAGGGAGTAAGGGACGAAGAGGGCATATCTCACCTGCATGCTGCCCTTCACCCCTGCCGGTGCCTCCATCACCAGCACGTCACACGCCTCCACCAGCTTGGGAGGCATCAGCCGCACAGCCGCCCCCGCCGCTTCCACTGTCAGCACCAGCCGGAAATCCCGATGCACTGGCACTTGCTTCTGCTGCTGCTGGTCCTGATGCACTGGCACGGATCGAGCCGCCTCCACCGTCGATCGGCCTCCGTCCACCGTTGATCGGCCTCCGTCCACCGTCGATCGGCCTCCGTCCACCGTCGATCTTGCACGTGACTGTAACGAGTTGAGCAGCAGCTGAAGCCACGCAGCGTGCCTGGGCACCGATAGGGCCAGGTGGGCATTGCACAGCACCACCCACCGCCCCTCCCTCGCCCCTGTCTCCACCGCCCTCTGTGCTTCTGCCACTGCATCGTCTGAACCCATTGCCACCGCTACAACCCTAGGGCCTGCTGCTACAACCCTAGGGCCTGCTGCTACAGCTCTCACCCCTCCTTCCACTGCCCTCTGTGCTTCTGCCACTGCATCGTCTGAACCCATTGCCACTGCTACAACCCTAGGGCCTGCTGCTACAGCTCTCACCCCTCCTTCCACTGCCCTCTGTGCTTCTGCCACTGCATCGTCTGAACCCATTGCCACCGCTACAACCCTAGGACCTGCAGCGGCTGTAGCAGCAGAGGCAGCAACAGCAATTTTGTCAGCACCTGCGGCTGTAGCAGTGGCAGCAGTGGCTGTAGCAGCTGTAGCAGCAGCAGCGGTGAGCATGGCGGTTGGGTCGCAGCTGCCGACGCAGGCCACCAGGGTCGGGCGGGCAGGCTCGGCCCGAGCCTGCATGAACCGAGCCGCAGCAGCAGGATGCTCCATGGGATGCTCTAGTGCCATTCCGACCCTCCCCCCTGCTGCTCTTGGTCTGCTAACAGCATCAGAACCACCGCCAGCAGCGCCGCCAGCAGCACCACCAGCAGCACCGCCAGCAGCCCTGGCAGCAGCAGTGGCAGCAGCAGTGCCAGCAGCACAGCTACCCCCATGACTGATCACAGCCTCCACCAGTCTCCGCCCAGCAATGTCCGTTTGACCAGCGTTGACTGCCATTGACTCCACGAACCCCACCACTGCCTCCACTGCAGCACACCCCCTGACCTCATACTCGCTATAAGCTGCCCCAGCAGTCGTACGCTGCAGCTCCTCTTTCACTGCGGCTGAAATATCACCTGCTGCTCTGCCTGTACTCTCAGCTGTAGCAGGGGCTGTAGCAGTGCCTATCGCACAAGCAGACCCTGTAGCAAACTTTGCAGCGACAGTTGTAGCCAAGCCAACCCAGTCCACGTCATCTGCCAGCCTGGCGCAGCGGGATAGGGCAAGGGCCACAGGCAGGTGGTGCCGGTACTCTGTTGCCTCTGCTGTCCTCGTTATAAGCTCACTCAATACTGCTGCCACCAGCTGCCTCACTCTCGGCTTCACAGCTACAGCACCTTCTGACTGTGCTTCTGCTGTTGCTGCTACTGTTGCTGTTACTGTTACTTCTGCTGCTGATTTCCCACCTGATTCACCACTAGCAGCCAAAATCGCGTCGTCAAACGCCCGCAGAAAGAAATCCAGCGAGAATCTGTACAGCGGCTGCTGCAGGGCGGCAGCCGCCCCAGAAAGGACGAAAAACGCCGCCGCGCCGACGTCCGCCAGCGGGGCGTACAGCGTCCGGACGGCGTCAACTTGTCTCATTACCAGCCGCACCTCTCTGGCCTTCGCCTTGACTGCTGCTGCGTCTTTTTTAATCTGAGCGAGAGTTTTTGAGACTGTAGAGTCGTCCATTACAGGAGGGAGAGGGGCTGGCGTGGGGATCGGGGATTCAAGTGCCCGGGAAGACAGAGAGACTCCCACTGGCGTTTGTGCTGCCACTGCTGCTGCTGCTGCTGCTGCTGCTGCTGCTGCGTGTGTGTGTGCTGCTGTTGGTGTTGGTGTTGCTGCCATGCCTGCCGGTCGTTTTAATCCGCTAAACATGCTGAAAGTAGGAGGAGGGGTGCTACTGACACTACCACCACCACTTCCAGCCGCACGAGCAGGAGTCACAGCCACGCTCCCGGTTACCACACCTCCCGCTTCCGTCCCGTCCTCTTCTGGTGACGTCAGCACCTCAAGCAATCTCCCCTCCAGCTGTCGCAATCTCAGTCGGCAACGCTCCTGCAGAGCCGCCGCCCGGTCCCGCTGCTGCGCCACGTCAGCGCGCTCTCGGCCAATCACGCGGCTCAGCAGGTGCTGACGCAGCCAGGAGGGCGAGATTCCGGTGGTTACGACCGCGGTTTTGGATAAGAGAGAGGGGGAGAGAGGAGGGAGGAGGGACTCGGTCGTAAGGAAGAGGCGGAAGGAGGGGGAAACGTCGATTTCTCGGTTCAACAGGCGGATTTTAAATAGGGAGGGAGTGAGGGAGAGAGCTGGGGAGGAGAGGGAGGAGGACGGAGAGGAGAGGAGGGAGTGAGAGGAGGATGAGGAGGAGGAGGGGGAGGAGAGGAGGAGGGAGGAGAGAATAGAGCTCATTTGTGAAACGTCTCTGATGATCAACGGGAGGCCGAATCTGACTGCCTTTTCCGCTGCTCGTGCCAACACACTCTCTTCCTCCTGTGCACTCACACACACCACCCCCCCTTCCTGCTTCCCTTCCCATGAACCCTTGCTGTCACTCAAACCAGGAACATTTTTGGCTGTAGCACCAGAATCAGATATAACAGACTCGGCTGTAGCGGATTCGGTGCTTCCGTCTGTAGCAGTCTCAGCTGTAGCAGCAGGGGCGGAGCAGGAGAGAACCTTCCGAAGGAACTCAACCATTCTTCCAGAAGGGTCCACAAGGAGAGGCACCCTCCGGCACTTAAGCACCGATTCTGCGTTCTGTAACGCATACTCGTCCTGTGGTAACCCCACCGCCTCCCATTTCGCCCGCTCCTCCACCTCCTCATCCTCCTCCACCCCTCCCCACCCCTCCTCACCCCCCTCCGCTCCCCTCTCTTGAACCCCATCCAACCCCACCTCACCCCTCAGCACACCCCCTTGCGAGAACTTCAACCCGCGGGAACCCACCACCTCCTGCCACTTAGCTAAAAGCCGCTGCCTTTCAGCCAACTCCAGCGGGCCCAGATACGCCAGACTCGCGGCTCTTAGCAAAGCGTCGCCTAAGCACGCCGCCGCCCGACTCTTGAGCATCTCGCGCTGCTTCATCCAACGGTCACGCTCGTACGTCAGGTCTTTGACTAAGCTGGCGGCTCGCTGCATGGCGAGCTTTGATTGGTGGATGTCGGCTCGCATGGCTTCACAGGCGGAGAGGAGGAGGGAGTGCTCGTCGCGGCATGCTTCCATGCGCTCCTCCAGATTGCCAATGGACTCCTGATGGGTGGAGAGCGGTGAAGGGTGATGCAGGGTGGTGTGGGGGAAGGACAACAGGGAGTAAGAAAGGAAGATTTAGAGGGATGTCGGCTTGCATGGCTCCACAGGCGGAGAGCAGGAGGGAGTGCTCGTCGCGGCACGCTTCCATGCGCTCCTCCAGATTGCCAATGGACTCCTGATGGGTGCAGAGCGATAAAGAGTGGTGCAGTGCGGTGAAGGGCGATGCAAGGTGGTAGGGGGGAAGGGAGACAGGGAGGAAGACAGGAGGGTTAGGGGGGGATGTCGGCTCGCATGGCCTCGCAGGCGGAGAGGAGGAGGGAGTGTTCGTCCCGGCATGCTTCCATGTGCTCCTCCAGATTACCAATGGATTCCTGAACGCAATGAAGATGGTGCAGAGCGGTGAAGAGTGGTGCCGAGAGGAGCAAGGGAACGGGAAGACAGGAGGCTTAGGGATGTCGGCGCGCATGGCTTCGCAGGCGGAGAGGAGGAGGGAGTGTTCGTCCCGGCATGCTTCCATGAGCTCCTCCAGATTGCCAATGGACTCATGAAAGAAATGAAGGGTGGTGCAGTCCGGTGAGGGGTGGTGTGGAAGGTGAAGAGCAGTGAATGAGCGGTGCAGAGTGGTGTACGCTTGCCACTCAGAAAGCAGACTCGTGACACCACACCCACCACACCCACACACACCCACCACACCCACCACACCCACAGACACCCACCACACCCACCACACCCACACACACCCACCACACCCACCACACCCACCACACCCACACACACCCACCACACCCACCACACCCACACACACCCACCACACCCACCCACCACACCCACCCACCACACCCACCACACCCACCACACCCACCACACCCACCACACCCACCCACCATACCCACACACACCCACACACACCCACACACACCCACACACACCCACACACACCCACACACACCCACACACACCCACACACACCCACACACACCCACACACACCCACACACACCCACACACACCCACACACACCCACACACACCCACACACACCCACACACACACCCACACACACCCACACACACCCACACACACACCCACACACACACCCACCTGCACGTGCTGAATCTCCTCCGCCATGCTGCCCGCCTCCCCCTCCACCTGCTCCATCTCGTCCTTTCATGCAGCACTCAGCACTCAGTGGTAACCTGATTGCGGTAACCAGAGTGGTAACCAGAAAGCGTAACCTCACCTGCACGTGTTGCAGCTCCTCCGCCATGCTCCCCGCCTCCCCCTCCAGCTGCTCCATCTCGTCCCTCACGGGCTGCACGGCCCTCTCATGGAGCGCTCAGTGGTAACCAGACCTGATTGTGGTAACCAGACCTGATTGTGGTAACCAGAGACTGTTAGCTCACCTGCACGTGCTGCAGCTCCTCCGCCATGCTGCCTGCCTCCCCCTCCACCTGCTCCATCTCGTCCTTTCATGCAGCACTCAGCACTCAGTGGTAACCTGATTGTGGTAACCAGAAAGCGTAACCTCACCTGCACGTGTTGCAATTCTTCCGCCATGCTCCCCGCCTCCCCCTCCAGCTGCTCCATCTCGGCCCTCATGGGCTGCACGGCCCGGATGATCTCCCCATACTGCACCGCTGCTTCCAGCCACGAGAACAGCGGCCCGCACGCCTTGCTCGCCCTTGTGATGATAACACACAGTGGATAAAGCAGGAGATGGAAGTGAAAGAGTCAGCACTCTCGCCCCTCATGGGCTGCACAGCCCGGATGATCTCCCCATACTGCACCGCTACCTCTAACCACGAGAACAGAGGCCCACATGCCCACTGACTCTCTACGGTTCACATGCCCACTGACTCTCTACGGTTCACAAGCCCACTGACTCTCTACGGTTCACATGCCCACTGACTCTCTACGGTTCACATGCCCACTGACTCTCTACGGTTCACATGCCCACTGACTCTCTACGGTTCACATGCCCACTGACTCTCTACGGTTCACATGCCCACTGACTCTCTACGGTTCACATGCCCACTGACTCTCTACGGTTCACCTGCCCACTGACTCTCTACGGTTCACCTGCACACTGACTCTCTACGGTTCACATGCCCACTGACTCTCTACGGTTCACATGCCCACTGACTCTCTACGGTTCACATGCCCACTGACTCTCTACGGTTCACATGCCCACTGACTCTCTACGGTTCACATGCCCACTGACTCTCTACAGTTCACATGCCCACTGACTCTCTACGGTTCACCTGCCCACTGACTCTCTACGGTTCACCTGCACACTGACTCTCTACGGTTCACCTGCCCACTGACTCTCTACGGTTCACCTGCTCACTGACTCTCTACGGTTCACCTGCACACTGACTCTCTACGGTTCACCTGCTCACTGACTCTCTACGGTTCACCGCACACCCTCACCACCATATTGTGTGCTTGCATGCTCACCTGTTGACAGCACCAAATGAGATCACCCGTGCGTCCAGGTGCTCCCTCTTCACCCGCAGCACTGAATGGGGGGGTCTATCTCTGCCTATGGCGGGGGTCTATGCTCCACACCTTACCACACATTGACTCTCTCTCTCTCTCTCTCTCACCTGTTGACGGCGTCAAAGGAGATCACCCGCGCGTCCAGGTACTCTCTCTCTTCACACGCAGCACCAGCACCGGATCTATAGCCTCCATATCGCATTACTACCAGTTTACCACACATTCAATTGCTTACCTGTTGACGGCATCAAATGAGATCACTCGCGCATCCAGGTACTCTCGCTTCACGCGCAGCACCAGCACGGGGTCTATGGCCTCCATATCGCATCCCAGTATATTGGGGATGAAGTCGTTTCGCCGCACGACAGAGAGAATGCCCTGCCACGTGGTGGGCTTTAAACCCGTCAGGAGGAGACACACGCCCTCGAGCGTCTGGGGTTCAAGGGAAGTGTGGTTGGGGACGAGGGGGGGAAAGGGAGGGTGAGTGAGGGGGATGAAGTCGTTTCGCCGCACGACAGAGAGAATGCCACGTGGTGGGCTTTAAACCCGTCAGCAGCAGACACACTCCTTCTAGCGTCTGGTGGGGTAAAGGGGGGAGGCGAGGAGTGGGGGTTGGGGGAGAGAAGTTGCTTTGGCAGCCAACACAGAGAGAATGCCCTGCCACGTGGAGGGCTTTAAGCCGGTCAGGAGCAGACACACTCCTCCCAGCGTCTGGTGTTTAAGGGAAGATGGGAGAGGGGAGAGGGGAGAGGAGGACGGGTTGTGAGTGGAAGAGAGAAGTCATTTCGGCATACCAGCAAGAGAGAATGCCCTGCCACGTGGAGGGCTTTAAGCCGGTCAGGAGCAGACACACTCCTTCCAGCGTCTGGTTGAAGAGGGCAGGGTGGGGTGGGGAAGAAGGGAAAGGGAGTGGAGCAGATGAAGCTATTTTGGCGCACCACGGAGAGAACACCCTGCCACCCTATGGCATAGCAAGCACACCTGCACGCACTCACCAGTTTAATCGCGCTCGGTGGATTCGGCATGGCCTTGAGATCATCTAGCTGTGATTTCCGTGTAGTGGAGGAGACACAAGCAGACACATGCTTACACACACACACAGGCACTCACCAGTTTGATCGCGCTCGGTGGATTCGGCATGGCCTTGAGATCATCCAGCTGTAATTTCCGTGTAGTGGAGGAGACACAAGCAGACACATGCTTACACACACACACAGGCACTCACCAGTTTGATCGCGTTCGGTGGATTCGGCATGGCCTTGAGATCATCCAGCTGCGACTTCCGTATCCACTTCACCGCCGTTTCAACTGCCACTATCCCCAGGCACACACATATACTGGAACTCACCAGCTTGATCGCGCTCGGTGGATTGGGCATGGCCTTGAGATCATCCACCTGCGATTTCCTAATCGACTGCACCGCCTTTTTCCCCGCCTTTACCCCCAGGCTTAGTCTGGTTCAGTGCACACCACTCACCAGCTTAATGGCGCTCGGTGGATTCGGCATGGCCTTCAAATCGTCCAGCTGGGATTTCCTGATCGACTTCACCGCCGTTTTCGCCGCATCAACTGCCGGCTCGACCCGCTCCAGATTCTCCTGCGCCTCCCTCCGGTGCCTCTCCACACTCTTTGCCTGCTCGTCCAACCTCGCAATCAGCCCCTGAGCTTCCTTCCTCTGCCTCTCCGGGGCCTTACCTTACACGGGCAGACACGGGCCTTACACACACATAGACAGAACCACTCACCAGTTTAATTGCGCTCGGTGGATTCGGCATGGCCTTCAAATCGTCCAGCTGCGACTTTCTAATCGACTTCACTGCAGTTTTCGCCGCATCAACCGCCGGCTCTACCCTTTCCAGATTCTCCTGCGCCTCCCTCCTATGCCTCTCCACACTCCTTGCCTGCTCGTCCAACCTCGCAATCAGCCCCTGGGCTTCCTTCCTCTGCCTCTCCCCTAGCGCTTGCTCAGCCGCAATCTGCTGTAACTTCCCGTTCGCAGCAGACTCTTTCACTTGGAGCTCCTTCGATTTGAGTTCTAAGTGTTTTCGGAGGAGTACTACGCGGTGCTCTGCGGCTGTGACTTTTGTGAGGCCCAGGGAGAGGTGCTGGAAGGTGCGGTGTGCGCGGCGGTGCGAGTGGGAGACGGAGGAGTGGAAGTGGGTGAGGAGGTCTGAGAAGGAGCGGAGGGAGATGAGAGAGTCTGGGGAGAAGGAATGCTGCAAGCTCCCCTCCTGCTGCTGCTCCCCTCCCAGCCCAGCCTTCCCAAAAGCTCTGTTATTGAGCGACTCGCTAACAGCACTAACAGCGCAGCCATGAATTGCCACCAGAACCTCCGCCAGCAGCTGCCTCTCCTTCGCTTCCCCAGCCCCACCAGCAGCACCACCCGCAGAATCAGCCGGCATATCAATCTGCTTGGAGTCTCCTCTTCCTCCTGCCCCTCCTGCTCCTCCTCCTACTCCTCCTCCTGCTCCTCCTGCTGCTGCAGCAGCTGCGGCCGAGACAGGGTGAACCAGCGAAACACCGGCGAGGCGACTCTGAGCAAGCGGAGCAAGCCCCGTGTCCCCCCAGGGCGGCAGCCAGAGCACAGTGCAGCGGTTGAAGAGAGCCGGGGACGCCAGCATGCTCTGGCGCATGTGCGCGCTGCCCTGGCTGGTCATCGTCAGCACCACGTGCAGGTCCCCTTGGATCCTCCTCCTGAACCCTGCCCATGCTGCCTCCTCGCTTCCCTCTCCCTCCCCTCGCTGCCGGAGGGATTCAAGCAGCTCCTGCAGGGAAAGAGGGGTTCAGAGAGGGATTCAGCAGAGGGTTCAGAGTCCAGGTTCAGGATTTAGGGTTTCGGGTTTGGGGTCCGGCTGGCCTTATTATGCTTCTACTGTACAGACACCCGATTCCACCTGCTGCGTGAGGTGAGGGTGTTTTTGAGACGTCTCAAAAACACCCTCACCTCTCGGGTTGGGGGTCCGGCTGGCCTTACTATGCTTCTACTGTACAGACACCCTTTTGAGTCGACTCAAAAGCGTTTTTGAGTCGACTCAAAAACACTCTCACCTCTCAGGTTTGGGGTCCGGCTGGCCTTACTATGCTTCTACTGTACAGACATCCGACCCCCCCCTCTCACCTGCTGCTTTTCCGCTCCAAACAGCCCGAGAACGACACACCCCCACCTCTTTCCTCCCCCCCCCCCCCCCCCCCCCCCCCCCCCTCCCCTCCCCATGAGAAGCGAGTTGAACCTCTCCAGAACAGAGCTCTTCACCAGAAGCACTGCTCATCCAGATGCGCTGCTTGGCATCTTCTGAATGAACTCAAGTCTGTTGGCTGTATGGTACCACCATCACCCGACCCCCCCCCCTCTCACCTGCTGCTTTTCCGCTCCAAACAGCCCAAGAACGTCCCCCCCCGTGAGAAGCGAGTTGAGCCTTTCCAAGACAGCGCTCTCCACCAGATGCGCCTCCTCCAGAACAAGACAAACGCGCCGCCCGTCGCACCCCGCCGCCCGCAGCGCCTCCTCCAGCGGGCCGTCCAGCTCGCGCTCCTCGAATCCCGCGTGCAGCGCCACCCGCACCTCCACCAATCCCGTCGCAGCGATTGCGGATCTGCGAGCATGTGATTGGCCAGCAAGGGTTATGAGGAGGAGAGGAGAGGGATGCATTTAGGGTTCAATGTTGGAGCCACAGAAGCACCTCGGATCCTGCGTGCAGCGCCACCCGCAGCTCTACCAATCCCGTCGCAGCAATCGCACATCTGCATGCAGAATTGGGAAGGCACCGTGGGTAAGTGGAGAGGGCAACCAAGGAAGCACATGGAGGGAACGCCACCCGCCCCTCCTCCAATCCCATCACAGCGATCACACACACACAAGCAAACAGGAATGACTTTTGAGGCGCCTCAAAAGGAAGCACATGGAGGGAGTGCCGTGCCACCTGCCCCTCCTCCAATCCCATCACAGCGATTACACACACACAAGCAAACAGAAATACTTCACACCCACCTGGCAACAGTAGACTTTCCAGTGGCAGGAGGGCCAAGCAGCAGCAGTTGCCCATGGGCTGCTGCAGCAACGATGCCGCCCTCACCATCGCACACACAAACTCATGCACATACACTCAATCAGTAAGCTCTAACTTCTAAAATGAACACTAGACCCAAACCATCCTTAAACCCAAACCCCAAACCCACCTGGCAATGGTTGATTTCCCGGTCGCAGGAGGACCAAGCAGCAGCAGATGCCCCATGGGCTGCTGCAGCACCGATGCCGCCCTCACCACCGCACACACAGACCCTAACTCTCACACACACACCCTCTCTCAAACAGATGCTTCACACCCACCTGGCAACGGTCGATTTCCCAGTTGCAGGAGGACCCAGCAGCAGCAAATGCCCCATGGGCTGCTGCAGCACCGATGCTGCCCTCACCACCGCACACACAAACTCATCAGTCAATACCACCTCCCCTGCTTGCACCTCCACTGCATCCTCCTCCCCCTTCTCCACTCCCAGTTCTTCCGATTCTTCCAATACTCTCCTCCCAGTTTCCTCCTCCATCTCTCCTGCCCTGCTGCTTGACGCCCCGCTTTCCTGCTCCTCCTCTCCTGTCCCCGGCCTTTTCTGCTGCCCCAGCACCTGAAGAAACACCTGGTTTCACCTGGCCGGCACCTGCCCCTCCTGCGGCATCCGGGGCCTCCCCTGTCAGGACCCACTTCAGGTGCTTTTTCAGGTGGTTCACCGCGCCACGGCTTGTACCGCCCCCGTCAGAAGCGACGAAAACACCACCGGCTCGGGTCGGCAGGTAGCGAGAAAGGCACAGCAGGAGCACCATCAGAAACTCCATCAGCAACAGCTACAGGATTCCCTGTACTCGTTACAAGAGTGTTCCCTACAAGAGGCACGAGCATCGGGAGTATCTTTTCTGTTGCCACCCGCAGCAGCAGCTTCGCCGTCCACTGCCTCTCCTCCTCCCCTCACCAGCCTATCATACCAGATGCGCATTCCCTCATGCAGCCATGACAGGACAAGCCTTGCCGCCCAGTTGCCCTCCCCATCACCACCGATGATAGCCGCACCGCCAACGCCTGTATGTGCACTTGTTGCTCCAACCAGCCCCACACCACCACCCAATCTCGCACCACCAGCACCCATACGCCCCTTACCACTCTTCCCACTCACTCCACCCTTTTCACCCCTCTCAACCGCCCCCTTCTCCCCCCTCTCGTCCCCGTCTCCCTTTCCACCCCTCTGAACCCCTTTCTGCCCATGCACCAGGGCGAATCGGATGCCTCTAGTCCATCTGGTAAGCTACCTAGGACTGCACACGTAGTGCTGCTGCACTGCCCGAAGTGAAACCTCACCCCACACTCCTCCATACACCTCCACCATCGCCGCTGCCAGGCACGCGCCCACCTGAGAAACCACCTGAGAATCCACCTGAGAAACCACCTGAGGATGCCCCCGCGCCTCACTGCCACCCCAGGCCAGTTCCGGGCCAATATCCCCCTTATAAACGTGCTGTATATTCTCGTAGAAGCCGCGCCCGGACGGAAACGGAACATGAGCAACAGTGAGATGCCTGGTCAGGCGTACAGGCAGTTCATGCTGCCGCAACGTCTGAAGCCGGATTGCAAGTGGCTGCAAATGACACCCGCCTCAGTTGCACCCAAACGCGCCTCTTGGGGTGCCAGAACCCATACGCATACCCACCGCTCCCTCCACTGCTGCTGCTACTACCACTGCCAGCACCACCACCACCACCACCACTGCCAACGTTATTGCTGCTGCTGCCGTGCGTATCGCCATTCCTGCTGCTTTCCCCACTACCGCCGCCCACCCCGCCCGCCGCCTGCGGAATCAGCTGCGGCTCCGCTAGCTGCCGAAGCAGGCCGGCCATGCGGATGGTGCCAAAAGCGTCAGGGGCGGGGAGATTCACCTCATCTAACAATAGCAGCAGACGGCCGTCCGCTGGTACTGGGTCCTTAGGCTCCAGCGCCCAGTTAACACTGGAAGTGGCGGCTGCTGCTGCCACTGCTGATGCTGATGTCGAAACCACTGCTGCTGCTGCTGCTGCTGCTGCTGCTGCTGCTGTTTCGTGTGACCCACCAGCAGCACCAACACCAACACCGGCAGCAGCAGCAGCAGCACCAGAAGCACCACCAACACCAACACCAGCACCACGAGCACCACCAGCAGGGAGCTTGACGTAGCGGCAGTGCTGCTCCAGCTCAGCGATAAACGACTCGGGAGACGTCGACAGTGACAAATTGAAAGCTGCCACGTGGAGCTTTGGCCCTGCCACTGCCGCCACCTCGGCCTCTGCCGATTGCTTGCTCCCTTCTTGCTGCTTCTGCGAAAGCTTCTCCTTTCGCTGCTGCGTCCCCATTCCAACCCCACCACCAGCACCACCACACCAGCACTACCAGCACTGCCAGCACCAGCACCACCAGCAGCGCCAGCTGCAGCAGCAGCGGCGGCAGCAGCAGCCTGTGCCTCGTCAGCGCCAGCAGTAGCCAATGCCTGCGCGACAGCTGTCAGCGCGAGAGTCTTCCCACTCCCAGGTGGGCCACAGAGCAGGATGGGCTGTGATTGGGCGAGACTGGCCCTGATCACCGCACCCAACCGCTCTGTCTCTGCTGTGGGGATAACCGTGGTTGAGTCTACTCCTCCCCCTCCTGCTCCTGCCACTACTCCTGCACCTGCTGCTCCTGTTGCTGCTCCTGCTCCTCCTGCTCCTCTTACCCCTCCTGATCCTCCCCTTCCTTCTCTTCCTGCCTTTCCAGCTGCACCCTTCGCCTGTCTACCAACCTGCTTTGTAACACCCATACTGCCATTGCTCCGACCAGACACAGAATTACTCCTTCTGTAGCTCATACTCCTCTCCTCTTCCTCCTCACTTCCCTCCTCTCCCTCTTCCACCTCCTCCTCATCCCCGAAGCACCCCCCAACAGCAGCATCAGCATCAGCCAATCCAGGCAGAGCCGCCTCCCACGGCTTCCAATGGCCGCTCGCCACGTCAGCGAAACAGCTCAGCAGCTGCTCTGACGTGGCACGGCATGCCACCTCATCTTTTCCCCCACCTTCAGACGCCAAAACACAAGCTAATCGGTCTGCAAAGGCAGAGCGAGAGGTAGCATCCATTCCCTGCAACCCCTGCCATGATTGCCTCTACCATTGCTTTCCTGGTAAATCTCCCCACCACCGCAATAGACCGATTCGCACCTCCCTTCACCCCTCCCCCACCGCTCCGCACACCAGCCGTTTCAAGCGCATCATTCTTCGGAGTGGCTTGGGAAGCGGAGGTTCGGCAGAGGTCCGAGGTTCGGTAGCAATAGTACAAGAACACCGAGCGAAGGGCACGCATGGAATCAAAGGGAATGGAATCTGCCTCGGCCGAACCTGCAGCTGTAACGGCTGTAGCACAGGCAGCGCTGGCAGCATTGGCACCAGTAGCACCAGTACCAGCGCCACTGACACCAGCAGCAGCCTCTAGAGCCTGCTGCAGCAGCCCGCCCGGCTGTAGCGCCGCCAGCGCCACAGCCAGCACCGGCTGTAGCAGCGGCTGTGGCAGGCCAGGCGGCAGCAGCTCCAGATGCTCGTCTGGCGCGTCAATCCCGAGGGAGAGGCGCGAGGGGAGGAAGAGAGGCGCGGAGAAGAGTGAGGAGGTGAGGGAGGAGTGGGAGGAGTGGGAGGAGTGGTAGGAGTGGGAGGAGTGGGAGGAGTGGGACGAAGAGAGAGTAGTGGTGGTGGTGGTAGCGGGGGTAGCTGGTGCAGGTGTTGTTGTGGTGGAGAGAGAGGGAGGGAGAGGGGAAAGAGATGAAGAGGACGGGGAGGAGGAGGGTGGGGGGAAGGGCATGGGGGGGAGGAGGAAGCGGAAGCGGTGGAGGAGCATGGGGAGGGAGAGGAGGGAGTGGGGGAAGCAGACCACTCCGAGACGAGAGGTGGTGGCGGGAGTGGCGTGAGCGAGAGGGGCATTCGAAGATGCAGTGCATGTGGGGGAGGAGGGGCAGGCGTTCTCCTGTGGGTAGAGTCATGACCTGATGGGTGGCAGGGGAGGGCAGACGGGGTGGGGAGCGTGGGAGAGGGGGGCAGAATGCAGAGTGTTGTGGGTGAGATGGAGGGGCACTCGAATATGCAGTGCATGTGAGGGGCGCTCCTGTGGGTAGAGTCATAACCTGAATGTAAAGGGGAGGGGAGGGGCGCAGAGGGGTATAGTGGCGTGGCCAAAAGAGGGGCATTCGCATATGCAGTCCATGTGGGGGAGGAGGAGCGAGAGGCGTTCGCCTGTAGGCAGGCAGAGTCATGACAGTTCAGCCTCGCCCTACTCCACCCTTGCCTCACCGTACCCCACCCTTGCCTCACCCCTACCCCACCCTTGCCTCACCCTACCCCACCCTTGCCTCACCCTACCCCACCCTTGCCTCACCCTACCCACCCTTGCCAGTTCGCTTATGCTGTCTCACCTTATTGTCATCCAGCAGCGAGTTGAGCGTCTCAATCCAAATAAGGTCCACCTCGCCATCAAACACAAACCAGTACCATTACTGCCTCCTAACCAATCCTTGTGTCACCCCTCCCCCTGTTATCCCTTCACGCCTACCCGCTCTGTGCATCATTCCCACATTGCCCACCTTATTGTCATCCAGCAGCGAGTTGAGTGTCTCAATCCAAATGGGGTCCACCTCCCCATCAAACACAAACCAGTGCCGCCGCCTCCCCTTATCTTCCCTCCTTGTGTCGCCCCTCCCTGCATTGCCCTTTCATGCAGCCCAAGGCAATGGGTACGCCCTCTCACCTTGTTATCATCCAGCAGTGAGTTGAGAGTCTCTATCCAAATGGGGTCCACCTCCCCATCAAACACAAACAGTGCCGCCGCCGCCACTCCACGCCCCTCCCCGCATTCCCTCCTGTTCTTTGCCGCATCTCCCCTCCTCCATCGCCCTCATCCCCTTCCCCTTCCATCCCTTCCCTCCTCTCCCTATCGCCCTCCGTTTCCTCTTCTTCCACCCCCTCCGCCACCCCATCTCTCCCTGTCTCCCGCTCCCTCTCCTCCTCATACTCTCGCACGACGGCCCTTAAAGCCCGGGTGAACACGCCGTCCTGCCACTCCCGCGTGGTGGCTTCCACGCTCCCAAACAGCGCCTCTTTGGACAGACTCTTGGGATCCACCACTGTCACGGACACCTGCACGCCTTGCGATGTCTGTAAGGCCTCACGCAGCACTGCAGACAGGGGTGAAAGGGTAGGAAGGGGAGGAAGAGAAGAGGGTAGGGAGGGGGTAGAGAGTAGAGGCTTGGGTGAACACGCCGTCCTGCCACTCCACTCCCGCGTGGTGGCTTCCACACTCCCAAACAGCGCCTCCTTGGACAGACTCTTGGGATCCACCACTGTCACGGATACTTGCACGCCTTGCGATGCCTCCAAGGCCTTGCGCAGCACTGCAAGAAGGGGAGGCGGGAATGGGAGCGACAGACTCTTAGGATCCACCACTGTCACCGACACCTGCGACCTTTCGTTGCCTCCAGGGCCTTGTGCAGCACTGGAGGCGGGGAGGAGAGAATGGGGAGAAGAAGGAGAGGGTGGTTGCCTCAACGCCCCAAAGAGCGCCTGCTTGGGAGAGGGTGGTGCCTTGGACAGACTCTCTGGGATCCACCACTGTCACAGACACCCCTTTCCGCTCATCCCCGCAACATCATCACCCATCTCCATGCTTCTTCACCGCTCCTCACCTCTCCAAGCAGTGGTCTTCCCAGAAGGCGGCCCCACCAGCATGATCCCCTGATGCAGCCCCATCAGCCTCACCACCAGCCTCGCCATCACCATCCCTCCTCATCCCTTTCTACCCATCCTCAACCTATTATTCCCCTACCTAACCCACCTTCATCCCGCATCACCGCTCTTCACCCATCCTCACCTCTCCAAGCAGTGGTCTTCCAGCAGGCGGCCCCACCAGCATGATCCCCTAATGCAGACCCATCCCTCTCGTCCTCACGTCTCATCATCCCTCCTCACCCCTTACCACCCATCGCCGTCCCATCATCACCCCTCCCAACCCATCTCCACCCATCTTCACCCCTTCTCACCTCTCCAGGCCGTGGTCTTCCCAGCAGGCGGCCCCACCAGCATGATCCCCTGATGCAGCCCCATCAACCTCGCCATCTGCAGCACCTTCCTCGTCCAATCACAGCTCGCCACGTACCCCTCCCTCTCACACACCACCTCCACCGCCGCTGTCAGCTCAGCGTCGCCCATCTCCTCCACAGCCACGTCCGGAAGGTTCCGGGAAACCACCTCCCGGAAGGTTGCCACGTCAGCAGGTGCCAGCTTGGCTGCCAGCTGGCCGAAAATGCCCTGGACTAGGGATCGGGACTCCAACGGCCATCTCGACACACGGTGGGCCTCTTCGTCCTCTTCCTCCTCCTCCTCTTCCTCCTCTTCCGCCCTACCTCCTCCTTTACCTCCTCTACTATGTCCTCCTCTCCGTCCCCTTCTCCCTCCTCTGTTTCTTCCACCTGCAACACCTCCTCTCTCACCTCCGGCTCCTCCCCTTCTCTCCTCCTCCTCCTCTCCTCCTCCTCCTCCTCCTCCTCCTCCTCCTCCCCCCCCTCCCCCCTCCTCCCCCTCCCTCTCCTCCTTCCCCCTTCATCCCCCCCTTGCTCCCCATCCTCTGCCTCGTAAAACTCCTCTTTCTCCTCTGATCTCACACTCCCCCCCTCCTCCTCTCCACACATCCCTCCTCCCTACCCTCCTCACCCTTCACCTCCATCTCTCTCTCACACACCTCCTCCATACCACTTTCCCTCCTTTCCTTTTCCCCCTCAATCGCACCCCCTTCCACCACCGCGCTTCCCCTTGCTCTCATTCTCACTCGCACCTTCTTCCACTTCCTCTTTCCTCTCCTTACCCTCATTCTCACTCGCACCCCCTCCAATTCTGTCTGCGCCAGCATAACAGACCTAGCAGATTTCAGAGCTGCTTTGAGCGCTCTCAGACTGAAATCGTACTGAGGCTGGGGGTCCAAGCATTCCTCAGACTCCTGCGGGGCAAGGTAGACAAGAGGGATGACGAGGAAGGAGCGAAATGAGAGAGTGAGAGAAGATCTCAGAGCTGCTTTGAGCGCTCTCTGACTGAAGTCGTACTGAGGCTGGGGGGCCAAGCACTGCTCGGACCCTGGAGGAAGAAAAAAAAGGTGTGGGCGGGATGAAGAAGAGTTTCAAGGGGAAAACAAGTATGGGGAAGTCAAGAGTGTCTTTAAGCGCTCTGAGGCTGAAGTCGTACT